CCCACCCCCACCCCCGGGTTTTTTTTGTGTGTGTGTGTGTATGTGGGTGAATTAATTTGTTTGTTTGGTTTTTTTTTGTGTGTGTGTGTGTATGTGGGTGAATTAGTTTGTTTGTTTTTCTTTTTCTTTTTTTTTTTTTTTTTTTTTACCCCCCCCAATGAGGGAGAAAATGGGGAATTTCTTTTTCATTGCCTGACTCGTTTCACTTAATATTATTCTTTCAAGGTCCATCCATGTTGTTGCAAATGGCAGTATTTCATTCGTTTTTATAGCTGAGTAGTATTCCATTGTGTAGATATACCACATTTTCCGTATCCACTCATCCGATGATGGACATTTGGGTTGATTCCAGCTCTTGGCTATTGTGAAGAGTGCTGCAATGAACATTGGGAAACAGGTATACCTTCGACTTGATGATTTCAACCATAGATATTTTAATTAGTCAGACCTGATCCGAAATCTCACTCTATTACTTGTTGGCCTGTGACCGTGATCTAAACCTAGTTCTGTTTCCTTTTCCTTATCTGTAAAAAGAGGACACTCAATCTACTAGATGGGTGGTGAGGATGAATCAGAAAATGTACAGAAAGCACTTAAACTTTTCTGGTACTCAGAGAAACATTAGTCGTTTCCCTTTTATATTCTTATGATGGATCTTGAAGCAGAACAGTTTCCAAAGCTTATTGGCAACTATTTTATTGTATGGCAAACATTTTCTGTAAGCAGAATATATACAATCACTTTTCTTTAATATACCTACCACTTATATTTTCTCTGTTAACATACATATGTACTCAGCAGCCCTATAAGGCGTGCACATGCAAAGGATATAAGAAACATGCTGCTGGCATTCCAGGAACACAACTTTTTCACCCTTCACTTTTGCTGTTATCCAGGAGAGGTTATTAATATTTTAAAAGAACCTACAAGAGGCAATAGGACATGATATTTAAGCATCTTTGGAATTCTTACCCACAGCTTGAGAAGAATTCTCATAAAGGGAGCTAGAGCTACCTATGGGATTGATGAAATTGAAAAATTAGGGAAAAGAAACAAATTGAATTTCTCCTTTATGAGTGTTAAAATATAGCAACAAAGTATTTATCCCCTTCTAGGTGATATATATTTTTATAAAGTTTTTTTTTTCTGTAGTAGTCACAAAATTCTGTGAAATTCTTAATATTTGTATTTTATAGGGATAGACTTGGATGTAGACAATTTAATAGATTGCCAGAGATACACATTGGATGAGGTACACAGGGAGAGAGTCCACATTCCTTCCAGTAGCTCATGTTACCTTCCTTTTCCTCAGGTTATGAGTTTTAATTGTATTTCTGCAGTAACCAAGTTTTTTATCATGTCTTATTGGATATGTAACCCTTTCCCTTCTATATCTATGCTAAAAGTTATCATAGCATAGAGTGTACTCCCTGATATTAAAAAAACCTGTTATTCTCTTAAATAGAAGGGGCCATTTGAACAAAATTATAGGAAAGCTCCACATATCGAGTAATAGTCAGAGAACCGTGATCTCCCAAAGCTGACCTGAGAGCATCTCCCAGGCAGTGCGTTATGGTGGTGTGCACACTGTTGTTAAAGAGACCATGGAAACCCCAATAGAAATAGAAAAGAAGAAGAAAACTTGTGAATTGTCTTCTGAAAATGTGAGAAGCCAAAAATATCATTCTCAATTTCAAGCTTAGTGGGCATCCATGAACCAGAAATGTAGAAATATTCTTAAAAATTTTCTTAAAGAAGAGAATCAG